ATTACGTTGATTACTTGAAATAAAGGAACCACTAACAAATGAAAATGTGAACACCAATAGCACTGACATAGGTGGAACTAGAATGCATTATGAAAACAAAAGATTATATAAATTTATTTTAAAATATCTGCAGAGGTAATTTGCAATGTTATATAAGCATAAATAAAAGAGTTGTTGAACTATCTAGTTACTGCTCTGCCACTCAGAAATTTGAACTCAGGCTTCCTTTGTGTCCTATAAACGTTATAATGCATAAAAACATTGTAAATAAAAGCTGAAAGAAGTGGTGAATTATTATGAAGTAATCATAGTAAAACATTTTTGTGGTGGATCCAATTCAACAGATCTTTACCTTGTAAAGGTGTGCTACATAAAGGTGCTGTTGAAGACTTGCTGTATCGCATGTTACTACTTACAGTGTTAGACAATGACAAATACTCTTGCATACTAGAGTAAAAGTTTACACATCTGAGGTTCTGAACTGACGGTAAGTGGCAATGCCAGCATCAGCTTTCATCACCTCTCTCTTCTTCCTGGGTTCTTGTTCCTAGAAACTGATTTCACTTGGAAAAATCCTGTAAAAGAGGGGAAAAATAAGGGGCAATGAAGCACTCAATGGCCTACTATTGCCACTGAGTGCTTCATTTTGTCAAATTCTGTCCTGGGTTAGAGATCTCTGAATTGCCTTAGATATTCTTATGTGTATTATGCATTTCAGTTCAATGAGTTAATAGGCCTTCAAAAAAATGTTTAGCTATAACATAGGCAAAATACAACTGTGTTTAAAACATGCTGTGATTAATATTTTAGTTTTTAATGCCTGTATAAATTGTCATGTATTTTATTTAAACATATCATTACCTTTGTGCAGGCATTATGCAAATATATTATTAAGTGTAAGAGGATTCTATTTTTATTTGATTGAAAAATGTGGATTATCTGGGTAATTCTAGTTTTATTTTGTAAAACTAGAGTAGGAGTAGGAGGGTTGTATATGCGTCTTACTTTAAAATTACCAGTGACAAATGATTTGAAGAAAAAGGTCTTTTAATAATGTATATGAAACAAGGATTTAGTTTAAAT